CTGTGCCAAGGCGCATCTAGCAGCCGAAGTCGACAGTTGCGGCCCCGCCAGTCGTCGCGACTAGCTGCCGAGCTGTAGAAGCTCTTCGTCCATTAAGCCGTCCTGGGGGCTGTGTTTAAGAAGAGAGATTCTTGTCGTCAAAGCAAATTCGCTGTTGGAGACCCAGCTCGAGATATGGAAAGCCTCGGAACCATTCGCCTCGCCATGATTGGCCCTTAGCATTCGGCGGTCCTTGCTTCACACCAAAGCCGGCATATCCTATGCAGATCAAGCCGCATTGCTCCGTGTGCTCCGGAAGATGGGTGAAGCAAGCGGCCCTGCAAGGAGGTCATGGCAAACATCATGCTCGACACCCAGTCCCTTCAGTGATAAGGCGCAGTCGAATCCAAGAATCACCAGGGCAAAGGCTGACGGGTCGCGGCCGTCACGACGAAAGCCACAGAAGCGTGGTGTTAGAATCTCTAAATGGAGATCCTCTGACGACGTCCTCGTGAACCAACACCGCAATTGCCACGACGACAACAAGCCTCTTCTCCAGGCATGGGTGGCTGACGATATCAATCTGCGCCTGGTGAGCGACGAGGGTCTCTCCCAGTAGAGACGTTTGTGCTGTCTGACTCGTTCGTATCATCCGGCGAAGTGGCCCCGTGATATGGGGGCACGAAGGCTCCGAATCTACCCGTTTCAACAAGCTGATGAGCAGTTGGAATGACCCCTTACGAAGACGTTGTTCGTTCATGTTCGTTCCGATGGTCGTGAGCGAGCACATGCGCTGGCTGCCATTGTCTTGCCGAAAGAAGTTCAACCACATCTTTTGCACCAGCTGTGTGGAGCTGGAGGATGCCGATTTTGAGCCACGCCCAGGCTGTGAGCTAAGTGAGCTGGACGGTGATTGTTGTCATGTTTCAGCAGGCGTGTTCTAATGACATGTTCGACAACCCAGTGAAGATATGTGACAACTCTTTTGTTGTAGCACTGCGAGCGGTCCATTTGCGTTGGCAACATTGTGTTGCTGTATTTGGACATATTTGGACTGTTTGTGTGTCAACGTGTGTCGACCCATGGCTAAAGTCTGCACCCTGGCCAATCCGACATCGGATTGCGAACAAGTAGTTCATGTCGTGGTGAACGCCAGCGCTACACCGGCAGACAGCATCAGGAGCGGCCACTGCCACACGTAATGCAGCATGAGCAAAACACACATTACTGATTTCAGCGTTCCACAGCAGCAGTCGCGATGCCAGCTCTTGAGCAATTGCCTCTTGTGCCTTGAAGGCTGAGTATTGTCGTTTGTCGAAGTTATTACAACATTGTTGCAACACGGGCTAGCCGGCCAGCGAATGCTTCCAAGTTGTGCCAGGAACTTTTTGCGGCAATTCATTGATTTCGTCGGCGAGACTGCGTTGCCTTGCGCCCAGCCGGTTAAGTCTTGCTGTCTCGTGTCATCGCACTGACAACCTAGGCGAGAGCTGGAGCTGGGTGGTGCAGCGGTAGAAGCCCCGCCAGCTAAAAGGCCTGAGAGAAGTACGCCGATTTTTTCCTCGGCTGTAACTCTGGCTGGCTCTCGAGAATGAATAAGTAAAAGTGCCGTTCACAATAACGGGCACCGCAGTGGCTCTACTGTCTAAAAGCGCTTCCATCATGCAAAGACCCGCAACAGGCCGCGATTTGAAACTCCAGTGGCCGAGGACGTTGCCGCATTTGCCCGATGTGGGTGTGTATCTTCTGTCCATGACGGGGTTAAACTCCGTAAGACACTTAAGCTGTGTGTGTGTGTGTGTGTGTTTTGCCAGTATGGTGATGAGCAGAAGGCAGCTCTGGTTGAGAAGATCAAGGCTGGGATGCTTCATGAACTTCGGCTACTCGTATCCAGATACATGCATACTGAATGGTGCTGATGTAACAGAAGCTCTTCTGCTTCTCAAAATACCATCGCCTTGCTCAACCCTTGAACTCACTGTCCTCGAGTTATGCAACATGAACTTGGTACTGCCTCAGTGAAAGGCAGAGCTGAGAGCCCAGCAGTTCCTGAGGTAATGCAGAGATCAGACCCGACTGCAAGGGAGGCATGGTGGTCGTCGGGAGCCCGAATGTAATTGAATGCCTTGTTTGGGAGTCACACGATTGCTGTGTTGTTGGAGCGCTTTGCGGCTGGATGTCTGGCTCCACCGATGGACAGGGAACAGCCGGGACCAGCGGCATAATGTTACAGGAGTTTACGGCACGACGACCAACCGGACTCACAGAACAAAATCCGGGAGCACGATGGCCTCATCTCCACGACACACGAAGTGGGAACGCGCATTCTGAGTTTGCAGTTTTTCTTGTGTTTGGTAAACACAGATAAATTCCGACGGACGAGCGTCCCTCCATTCATCAGCTTTCGCGCAAGCGTGTGCACCCTGTCCCCCCTCATGCAGATCCTGACCCTTTGATGCGTCCTGCTTTGGGTCTGTCATGGTGCTCGAAACCACTTCCAGAGAATTGAAACACTTCGGCCAAAGCTCTAGATTTCTTTCGCTTACGCTGCTGATCTCATTGCTAACTCGTGGTGCTGGCCCTGTGTTTGCGGAGAACACTCTCGGAGACCAGCAGGTTGTCGGTTGCATCACGGCTCCCGCAGCTTGTAGTGGGGTTTGGCAGCACCGGTGCTTTCGACTCTCCCACAGCACTTATTAAGCGGAATCGTATTGCGCCGTCATAGGAATCTTGCTGTGTCTAGGCGATGTGCAAATTTTGGAGACAAAGAGAGAATCCTGTCAGTTGCTACTGCTGCTGCTAACACTACTACTACTACTACTACTACTACTACTACTACTACTACTACTACTACTTCTACTACTACTCCTACTCTGCTGCTACTAGCACTGCTACTGGTTCTGGTACAGCTGCTGATGTCACCACCACTACCACCATTGTTATGACTAGCGTTGTGACGATTAGCCGTTTTAGTAATGGCCAGTATGCTTGTTCCAGCTGTGCAGATTCCTACTTCCACGCTCTGAAGGTACTGCGACCTTACGAACAAGGGCATCCGAGATCCCAATCGCCATCAAACTTCCTCCCTGGAGCAGTGCTGCACTTGGGCACCTGTATGTTTCATTCGTATACATCTTTGGACAGTTCCCATTTGAGGCGGGTTCGCGTTTGAGGCAGTTTCCTTCAATCTTTGCCCATAAGATAGAGTGAACAGCAGGTCATCAGGATGCAATTTACATCGATCGTGCTCTGCCAATGTCCCCTTGCAGTGGGAGGTAAACTAGAAAGTAGAGCGAGCACAATGTCTAAGCCGTCTAAGCACGGCCGAGGGCTCTGGGTGTGGTTGCGGATCCCGTAACGCCAATGCATGGAACCTGATCCCCGAAAGCATCCATCTCCCAGGTTCCTGTCGGAGCAGGGGCAGCTGTGAGTTCCACCGACCGACTGATTCTACGCTGGCTGAACACAGCCGCTAAAGAGAAGCCCCCTACAAAGCCTGGTAGATTGCCCAATGCCAAGCCCCAAATCCATTGCTCCACATCGAGTTTGATTCCCCCCAACCGCGTCCCGCAGCAGCCAAACATCGCCCAGCACTTTCACTTGGCACTTGACTTGTGTGGCAGTGCTCCATGCAAGCAGCGCTGGAACTATCTCTTGGTACACACACACACACATCAGAAGTGGTCTGCCATAGCATTCGATGCAGAAAGCTCTGCATCGCCCGGGTTGTACAAGTCTTGAAAACTAGCAACCGGAAACGGTGCTGTTCTGGGTAGTCTTTCGAGCTGTCGTGGCTGCAACAGTGGCTCATGTGCTTTGCTGCACGTGCCTATATGACATTGCAATCACCCTGCCTGGCATGGAGGAACCCTGCGAAGCAAGCAAGAAGCTTTTGATCGTTGCCACACTCTCGCCTGCGAGCAGAACGACAGTTCACGCACCCGGTACGTTTAGAGAGCGCGGCGCCTGCGTTATGATCTGAGAAAAGCATGTCTTGTTTCAATCCATTGCGTTGCTTGGTGTAGTGCCGCGTGCCCTTGTAGTCGTGCCCAAGCAAGCACAGACAGGCGCCACCCACCGCAGCATTTCGTCCATCATGCGAAAGGATTTGCGAGGAGCCACGTCATGAGTGCATGGACTCATGGACTCGGACTGCTGCTAAGAAGGCCCTGGGCCAGCTCACAACACCGAGACAGCTTCAGATCAGCTTCTTGTCAACAGCTTCGGAAAGCAACAGACCAAGCATTGAACAGAACTTCAGAGCAAGAAGAGCCAGCGGGAGCCACGTGGTTTCGAAGTCTGTTTGGTGTCGGTGATTTCTCAAGCTTTTGGAAAGGTTCATGCCTGGAGACGATGCAGACCTTGCTTTCCTTCCAGCCCCAACCCTGTCAACCACTTCTCCCATAGCTTCATCCATGCCCTAGCCCTTGAGCATTCTTGGCATGGCGGGATATGCTTCAGCGAAATGCTTAGAATCGTTTCGCGCACAGCTCAGGCCTCCTTCTCCCACCCCGGCCCAGCCCACGCATCTGAGGCATTTTGGGCACCTACTGGCCACCAGGCAGTGAGAGATGGCGCAGTAGAGATTCGAAGTGTTGAAGTACCAGGGACCAGGGCCAAGCCATCTAAGCCATGCTTGCAGGGCCCGGCGGGCGCGGCGGCGGGCCCGGTGCTGCAGCAGACTCCTGCTGGGATCGAGGTCAAAGGCCGCTGCAGTCGCCGGGGCTCCACTGCGACTGCTGCGAGTCAGGGCTGCCAACAGTGCCGTCTCAACAATATGTCGGCATCGCAGGCCGCGGCCGCTTCCGAACGCCAGAGGCTTTTGAGGCGGCTGAAACAGCAGCCAAGCTTTGTTCGCCCTAGGTTACTTCAGCTAAGCACCAGTGTCGGTCAGTAGCCACTTTTGGCCCCACCTGTGCTTCGTTTGGGCGGGTTCGGAGCCCCTGCTATGCCGCTCAACGCAATAAGTTGCCTATGGAGTCGCATTCTCCGGACGTCCGAGCCGGTGCTGTGTGGAGGCGATGCTCGACGGCCTCCAAACCATGCTCACAACCTTGCTGGAGCGCTGTGGGTACTGGGCCCGGCCTACTGGGATCGTTGTTGCTGAGGGCTCATGATCATGCGACCGCATGTGTCTCCACGGATTTCTGTGTCAGGTCAGATGCTAATGCCTGTCCGGTCATCCAAGAGCTGGACGTCTCACAAAACAGGCTGACACTTGAGCAATTCGAGGCAGGCCCTGTGGCCCAAAGTCGCTGGCAGCTCTCTGCGTCTTCGTGTCTAGCTGGAGTGCCCTTAAGCTCGCGCGATCTTGGTGTTGTGTCATACCAGCTAAACTTGAATTCAACAGTTATCTTTTATCCAAATGAACCTGCCAGACCCTCTTCGTTTCTATGGGTGTCGCTGGCGCGAAGGCCTGGGCCTCTGAACTTTCATGTGTTTGTCATCTGCGGCTTATGCCGACATAAACTCGAGGCATGCTGTGGTCCATAGAGGAGGTTCATCAACTTTTCAACATCTTGTCCCAGGTGATCCGATACCGAATGTTCGGATGTCCGACGCTGGATGACCAGGCATTGAGCTTCCGATGTTCTTGCGAGCAGCAAGCAAGCACCTTCAGTTCTTCGGTCCTTCACCGATTCTCTAACTTAATCTGTTGTTTGCAAATGCAGTGCAGGCTTATCTGTGAGAGTCCCGTCGATGCAATGTTGCTACCAGGAGGGGTTCGTAATTGTATACCGTCCCCATCCATTTGAAGTGTGCCGTGTGCGCTCAGAAGCGGGCCTGAAATGAAGGCGCGTTGTTTCCGTTGCTGTTACCGGCTGCCAGGGTGCTGAACCTGAATTGAGCGAGCATCGCGACTCGATGCACACTTTGTAGTTCAGCATCTTGTGGTGCACTCACAACGACTCGCAATCATCAACTTTCAGCTCGTCCCCTCAATCCGAGGGCGCACATTGCGTTTGCACACTGGGACAACCGAAGACCCGTATGCTGCAACGCCTCTCGCATGTACTATCTCTGCAGAACAACGCCTTTCCCACACTGCAGATTGGCCGTTGCGAGCTTTGATGCTGGCATGAGTGTGGCGTTTCAGACACTAGTTGGATGTAGATGTAGTTTGCCTTCCGGGTCTTGGCGCCAAGCTACCCTGCCGGCTCACGATGGTGGTCTCGGTCTCCAACCTGCCGCCCAAGTTGCTGATGCTGCATACTTAGGCTCTCGCATCGCCACCTTGGCACGGTGTCAGGCCCTATACCCCTTGGGTGGATGGGACGCCGTCAACCCGGATGGCCTCGTCGTCGCGGCCCTCCAACGCTGCCAGGAGCGGTTGCAGTCAGTCTCAACTCACCTTCGCCAAGCTGCGCTGCTTTTGCTCGGAAGCGGGATGCCAGCCCCGACGACATTTGTCACCTCCACGCGGGCTCTGCACCTGTTGCTACTAACCTCTGGGAGCTCACACCCTCTACAACCCTTGACAATGTCTTATCCCATGCGGACTTCATCATTGCCAAGAGGTCCCGCATTGGTGTCGACGTTGCAGGGGATGAGAGCACCTGCAGGTTTTGTGGGTCCATTTGCGATGCTGGTGGGCGGCATGCGCTGTCCGTCCTGTATGTCCGGTGGGGATGCTATCGACATGGTCTATGACTATTGCCTGCGGACCCAGCTGCACCCGCAGCGTGAAGCTTCGCATCTCCGGCAGGACCAGGGCGCCTCTCTCAACCGTGGGCGCCCCGCTGATATCTTACTGTCCCATCCCGGCACTCTTCTTGACCGTCTCCCTTATGGCAGCCGGCGCAATGGGGTTGAGCCTTTGTCGTAAACGCTCTTGGAGGGGCACGCGGCAACGACCTGCAGCGGCGGCTGCTAGTGCCACCCACATAAGAGTCGACACCAACGCACCGAAGCTCTGTGTCGGCTTGCTGGCATCACCTACCAACCGGTCGTCCTCGAGTCCCAGGGTGGTTTTGCCAAGGAGGCCCTCTCAGTCCTGCAGCGGCTCGCACAGGCTGTCGCTGCAGTTGAGGGGCGCCTTGACCGTCCGTGGACGCTTGATTGACCAGATCAGCGTTGCCCTCGCTCGCGCCAACGGGCGTGCCGTTAGGCGCAGACGCGAATGCTTGCCTGCTGATTCGTCCCTGCGGGCTGTCTGCGCTGACTTGTTTGTGGAGCCTTGAGCTCGACTTCGCTTGGATGCTTGCACACAGAACACCTTGTACTCGCCTCGGCACGGCTTTCGCATCGGCGCCATCTGTCACCCGTCGCCCACGCCTTCTGAGTTGGTCCGCAGGGGTAGGGCGTTACACTACCGGTTGACGGTATGTCAGTGTCGCATTTATTTAGCCTCCTATACTTGCAGAAAGAGAGAGTGCGAGTGACATTCTACAGCCAAGCCCATTCTAGGATAATGATGAGGCACATCTGACGAATTTCTAATGATCCCTGTTTCGATCCTGGCAGGTACTGCAGTCGCTGGCAAACTTTCTCTCTGGGCCGGTGCCTCGGTCCTTCAAACCCCGTTAGAACCAGCATGGATGATTGTTGCTGTATTGTAGGCATAGTGAAAAGTGTAGGCGAAGGTGTCAATGTAGCCCGACGGCCGAAATGCAGGAAGATACACGGACTTTCATAGATTTGGGCACGTGGCCTCGACCCAATCGCCCTTAAATACCAAATGCCAGGACTTACAAGGGACACAAGGGGCCAAATTTGAACATCGCTCAGAGTCCCATTGTCGTCGTGTCAGAACATGGCAGCATAGCGGAACGGGTGTGTTGATCGAACTTGGTCTGTGTGGGGGTGCACCGGCGTGTCTTCGTTTGGGCTTCGGGCCTCCAGCCTCGGGCGGATGGACTTTCTTCCATGTTTTCTGCTCCAGAAGCTGTAGAGAGATGCCGTAGACTCTAGACTGTGACCGCGCACTGCTGCAGGTGCCCATGTAATCTGGATTTGCTTCAGAAAGACATGTTTGCTGTCCTAGGCAAATGACTGCGGATACAGCGCCGTGGGAGCTGCACTCCACCCCATGTCTTGGGTGGTCTAAGTATGCTTCGTTGCATTGCTTGTTTCTGAGTGTTGTGACAAATCATACGGCAGTATGAATCAATGATTTGATGCTTCATTTTGCCAGGCACCTGTCAGATTGCGCCATCACTACTGACGGTTTTCTGGCGCTGATGGATGCCATCGAGACGAGCGATCTGTGCCCTGAATGTTTCACTGCTGCCGGCGCCCCGCTGCTCACTCTTGCGCAGCCAGGTATCCTCGTCCCAGTCCACAAAATCCGGCGAAAGGCCAGGAACGGATTACATCAGAGTGGGTTTCCTATTGCCGCTTCAACAGTATTGGCAGCAGAGTGCATCCTTGATCTATTTCGTCCATAACCACAGCCGCTGGCGACCTCTTCAAAGGGGTCATCATGTTGAATCCAGGCATTCCGTTGTATCTCCGCTTAGAGAACAACTACATTGCCGAGGAGACATGCATCTTTTGATTCAGGCACGTTCTCCAAAATTAGGTTCCTAAGGCCGCAGATTGCATCACGTGTGAATCGCCAGCAGGAGTTTGGGGACGGTCTCTTTGCTCTAGTGTAGATTAATTCGGGAACTGTTCCCAGACTTCAGGAACCCGGAGTTGCAATTCAGGACCGGCGAGCCGGAACTGGTCGGACGGAATTCGGGAACCCCGAGACACAATTCACAAATAGGGATTCGGCTTTAGAGGTTGGGCTTTGGGCGTCAGCTTCAGGCCCTCTAGAACAGGCTTAGGAGTTCGGTGGTATCTGGTTGGGACCTCCGATGACATTCGAGCTGAATCTGAGAATCTGCGACGTAGCTTGCACGATGCTTGCACCAGGCAAAAATCGATTCGCTCGAATCTCTGAGCGCAGCTTTTCGACATCCGATTGGGTTAGGGTCTAGTACAATAGCATACAAAAAGCAGGTTATAGTAGCTTTCACTCTTTGTCGGTTTATCTGCCTGAATGTACACATATCCGTACACATATGACAGACAACATGATCTCCAGTGTGTTGCATATGAACCTGTACAAGCTGTTCTATGTTCGGGCGAAGGTCTTGGCGTTGCAGTTTGAGGGTTAAGTAGCTTTCCTCCAGTTTGTGGGTCTCGCTGGGGCCCCTTTCCGGGACCCACAAACTTGCTCTAAATGACTTCGACTGAATCTACCTGAGTGAAGATGTACTCAGGAACTCTTCCGGAATTTCGCCCCCCTCAGTTCCTGAAGCGCCGGCGGACGCGGTCCTCGAATTGGGTTCCCGAATTGCTACTCGTATCCCTCTTGCTCACTTGCAGGATGCAATTCAGCAAAAGGTGGATGCAGGGCTCATCCAGACCTTCACAAAGCAGATGGGTCCGCAGATGCCCTTTCCTCAGTTCTCTGGAAGTACGAGTAATCTAGCTCGTCCGACAGAGCTTCATGAAGACAGACAAAGATGCGCCTGCACTTTCATATCTAGCGTGTCTCTGCGCGACCCGTAAAGTAAAGAGGATGTTTCATGGAATGTGTCATGCCAGCTTGCTCGAAACCAAGAACAGCAAAGTCGACGCCTGTTCTACCCACAGTGCTCTTGGTTCTTCGAGTTGAGCACAGTGGTCTCGATGCAAGCGGTCCAGTTTGCTGGACAGTTGATGATTGCTGGAGTGCACTCCTTGCTTGGCAAGGTCTTTTGCAGGGGGTCCCAAAGTGAACCTTCTTGCCCGTGGCGCTCTGTCCTCAGCATGGGAAATGAGCTCAAGAGCTGTCGTCCATATCCCATGTTGATCGCACGGGACGTTTCCAGATACTGCGAGCGTGCCAGGGCATGGCGGAAGTCGGGCATACTTTCAGAAAGCAGAATCTCAAGAAGCATCGAAGTTGCTCTCCCACGGCTGTCCAAGGATGGGAAGTGCCAGCAACTCGTGAAAAGCGCCTTGACAGAAAAGACGCAGACCCAGGCGCGCCGGAGCTGTCGCATGGTACGAGTCAACATTAGTCAACCATTGGTTAGACAATCCTGTAAGTCCAAATGACAGCTTCACAGGAGTGTTCGCAGAAGTGGACAGTTCCGCCCGACCATCAAAGCGGAATGTAACCGCGTTTCCCCCTCTGTGTATGTCGGTTTGCTCGTCGCACTGTCAGGTGCCGGCCCGGCCGGCTCCAGCCGCCTCGCCCGTCAAGCAGGCGCGCAGAATCGCGCGCGTTCTCGCGATGATATGCAATTGTGCGAGTTGAGCAGCTTTCCAGTCTGGGTCTGGGTGCTGAGATCCTCTAGGTTGCATCTCGTTTGTCCTGACATACTGACATATACTCGTACATAGTGAGACATAGTGCAGAAAAGCTTGAAGACAACAGCATCCAGTGATTACACCCGGGGAGCTGACACAAGAGCAAATCTGTTTGGGGGACTAGTGCGCGCTGGGCATGCCTCCACTGACGCGGTCGCATTTCCAGGTGCCACCTCGAAATGCCACCACCGCGCCTCTCAAGCAGGCGATGAGTTTTGGGCTAACAAAGCCAGCGAGGGGCACATAGAATCCGGGGTGTCTACACAACCGATGCTGATGTAGAAGTTGGTGTGTGTTGTTACAACGGTTTGTCGTTGAGCTGGTTGAGCATTGAGAATCGGGATAGTCGCGTGCGGCGGGTGTCGGATGTGAGGTTGGGTCAGCACCTGCTACCATAAGTAGCTCTTGAATCCGCGGCATTGAGGTTCGCTGTTGTGGCTGTACAAGAACCTTTGACCGCCACAGGTGGTTTCCGTGCCTGCCAGGCTCTGGTCGTGCCGGCATAGAGCCAACAGATACCCTGCAGTCGCATATTTCAAGTCAGGTTGAAGGGCTATGATTTCATTCTCAGCGATCATGGTTGTAGCTCAATGCGTATATCAGTAAGCTGCGTGGCACTGAGGCATGTGTTCAGGCAAGCGAAATAGCTCTGTGCATGTGCAACACCCCTGGAGTGTGCAACCATCCAATGGTCCAAAACCAGTGCCGTTCAGTCCGGACATTGGCAGGGAATTCGTGCAGTTTGGCCGGGCCGTGGCAGCGGCGCAGCGAGCACCGAGTGGAACTCCTGCCGCAGACTCTGTTCAAGGGGTTTCGAAGAGTTGTGAAGGTTTGATTGATTACGGATTTCAATTTTCAAGCTCCGGCATCTGCACGGATTGCCTTATCTTGCTGTCGGGGTCAGGGGTTCAGCGGGCCCGGTGGGTCTTCTTCTCACTTTTTGGTCCTCATAGAGTCCATAAACCTGGGGCATCCAACCATGCGAACTGGAAGTTCTGCCGTCCATGGGATTATGAGACGAGATTCGTTGTGTTGCGGCGCAGTTATTAAAGACACGATTGTCGGCCGCTACATTTAAGAGAGATCGGAAATGTGTGAATCTGCCCAGACCAGGCCATTAAGAGCATTTTGCATTCTCCCCAATGTCGCGCGAGAACACGCCTTCAGAGGACATGTGCAGCCCTACAGTGTAGCAATTTGGGATCCTCTGAGCAACAGAGCCATGCGGCCGCTGTGCCAATCTAGTCAGTAGAGGACATGTACGGAGGCTGCAGCGGATTGCAACAAAGGGCTCTTTCCATGTCGTTCCCTATGCTGGCAAACGGCAGAGCTCTTCCATTTCTTCCCTGGCTCCGTCTGTGCCTGGCAAGCAGTTGCACAGTTCACACTGAGGCACCAGCTCTCGGTGTGACGAGGACGCTGGCGCAGCCTGGGCTGAGGCAAGCTGTGCAACAGCACTTTCTGTGAAACGTGAGATCTGCAACGACAATCGGCGGTGCAAAGGCTGCGCGCTGTTCGCCAAAAGTATCGCAAGTCAATCGCGCATCGCCCTGTGAGGGCAGTGGCTCCAAAGGCTCCGGGGGCCCACGCGGAACTTCCGCGGAGTGGTGGCACTCTGCAGACGGTCCGGCCCTCCGGCTCTCACCAGGGCACATGCTGCGCTTCTAACGCCACGCTTCACTCTGGCTTCGCCTCAGGTGGCACCGTCGAACGGGCAACTCAGCTGCACTTTGCAGTGCATAGACTCATAGAGCTCTGAAACTCATGAGAGAGCCATTCGACATCTTCTTGGGGCGTTGTTTACGCGCGAGTGTGAGGGCCGTGGGAAACTGGCAGCACGGCACCTTTTGCTTTCCTTGTGATGGGTGCTTCGGAGACGATGCGTCATCTGCCCGGTTTAAGCTGTTATACGGTGCTTCCTAGTGGACCGCTAGAGACGGCCGGCAGCCCACCCTTCGTTGCTCTACTGCCATGCATGTTTCGTGCTGCATAGGCCCAGACATCTGAGAGCGAAGAGTTCAGGCCACGGCCAAGCGTGGCCAAAGCACGGCCGAAGCCCCAACTGGCGCAAAAAAGCGTCTCTGTGCCGACGCCGGGTTCCAAGATCGGCTGCGCTGCTCCCTGAAAAGCATTCAATTTCATTCATGTCATGCGTCTTGGCAGTGACTTGCCATTCGGGCCCGTGTCCTGACCTTTCTGATTTCTCAGTGCGCTACAGTAGGCTTTCTGTCTCTCATTAACGCATTACACGTCCGAGGTGCTACCGCGACCGCAACGTTTGCCACGCGCATGCGCGCACACAAGCGCACACCCAAACGAAAGCATGCTGACATGGATATCTGATGAAAGCACAGTCCCTGCGACCCGAACTTCGCAGCACTTGGAGTGGGCTTCGCGCATACACACGTAACAGGGCCGGATCCAAGGGAGCTGCAACAGTGAGGCTCGACCGCTGTGTGGTTGCAGTGCTGTAGTAACTTCCGTTCGATTCGGACAGTGTTGAGCGAAGATGCAGCATCTAGCATCTATGTAGCCACAGGGATTCCAGAGAAAGAAGGCTCCAGTAGACTAGCTGCATCGGGCTGTTGACGCAGGCCACGTGGCAGCATCGGCCTTGATGCCAAGTGTCTAGGCTGAAGCCGACTCAAAGCTGAGCAAGGGCAAATCCACCCCGTCGTGCCCTGCCCTCTAAGGTATCGGCCACCTGTAAGCCAAGAAACGGAGCCGGTCAGCAAAAGGTGCGGCCTCCAGCTTTCTGATGTCATGCCGTCACACCAAGACAAATTTGAAGCCATTCTAAAGCCCATTTTGCCATATGCAGTCTTGGACAATCGATCAGCCCCCTATAAAAATTGTAGCTGCATGTTGGGTTCGGCGACTCTGTATAGTAACAGGCCACGCGGCAGTGTTGGCCTCGCAACGGCTCGGTGCACAACTCAGTGGAACCTTCGACTTGCCCAGCGGTGACACCTCAGCCTCGCAAGGTCGCGGACGCCTGCACAAGAAGCACCAGTCAAGTCGCAGCTTCACTGCACGATCGAGCTTCGGGGACTCTTCTTTGGAATGTCTTCCTGCCATGCGGACAGCGAGGGCTGCGCGTGTCGGCAGGTCCGAGCTGCCAGAGGATTGGGAGGCCCGTTGGGGTGTTAGAGCATTTCAGAAGTCTCCTGAAGCGTTCGATTCCGTGCCAGTGATCCACTCCAGAACTCCTCATTTTCTTCTTGCCCGTTCTGCAGGAGCACCTGAGCGAGGAGTATGGCATCTCATACTTCTGGAACCGAGTGACCAACGAGTCCAGATGGGACAGGCCATCAAGGGTTCTTGCGCGTGCATGTTTGGACTGTGTAGCCACGACATTTTCTGTCATTTCTGCTCCATTGGCTGTCCGCTCTGCCAATAAATTACATGGCAGGCCTTCAACATGAAACTGCATCATCACGTGACTCAGCCGCAGCCGATTGTCTGAGCTTGCCCACGCTTGCTCAGATGTTCGTGTCTCCGTCCGAGCGTGTGTGTGTGTGTGTCTCGCTCTGTGCCAAAGAGATTTACCGTCAGTGTAGTGCCAGCAGGGGGATGGCGGAGGCATGTGAGGCTCCATCCAACGAAGCTCCTCACATGACCTCAGGATATCCACAGGGACGCCTGTGGACGTACCTGCAGTTTGCGACACATTTCATCGTGCAAGCTGTACATTGTTTCCAGGAGTTCAAGAGTGTAATGTTTCTAGAGTGCAATGCATTGACTTTGCCGGCTGATTCTCAGAGATGATTGGAGACCTGTGACACATTGTGTCAAGTGTGTGAGGAGGGGAGGGGGGGGGCGGTAGCGATTGCCACAGGCTTCGCCAGTGTGCTTCAACGATTCTCCATGGCGGGGCCAGCCAGCGCAGCTCTGTGCGGTGAAAAAGAAAACCCGAGCCTCTGTGGCAGATCGAGCTTCAGCTTATCTTTATCAGACTCTCGTGAGCTGAGTGGAGCCTGGTGGGAGAGCGCTTGGAGCTGCCTGACAACTTTGGCCATCCCAGGTGTCACGAAAGGTTTTTGACTGCTGCTTTCTGTGCCGAGATAGATGTACAGGCTCAGACGAGCTGGTCATGAAAGTACAAGGCTGAGTCAATGCCGACGTCAAACATTGAGCGCTCAGTCAGCTCATAGCCCAGTCAGCTCACACCTCTGGCCGTCATGGGTGGCTTCGTGGCAAAAGGAAAGGGCGGCTCCGGCAAGGACGAGGTGTGGTTTGCCCCTTGCCCACCGGAAAAGCACATACTAGGCTGGTCTTGTGACAGGGGCCGAAAAGCCTCAAGGCCGACATGCTCCCTGGCTACACAGTGCAGAAAACATTTGCTCCCCCTGGTCTTTGGTTCGTCGAGGGCCTGGATGTGCCTCTTCCACACAGCTAGAATCTAGAGTTGAACCAAGTCTAGCTTGCCAATGGGGGTTGAGAGAAGCTGCTGCAGCCACTGCCATGCCACGTTGATAGGGACTCCCAACGCACCAAGCAATTAGAGAGTTGTAAGCCCAAGGATGGAGGACGAAGCGGAGGACTCCGAAGACGAGGAGCATCAGATGCTCGTCAGAAAAGACTTGATTCATATTGTTTGTTAGTGTTCACAATCGTTGGGTTCTTTCCAGGCTCCAATGGGCTTGTGACCTGGACAAACATCATGCGGCATGAATGAACATCAATCTAGCCAGTGTTGAGGTCAATAGACCCTGTAAAGAGATCACGCAAGCGCACCATTCAAGGATGGAGAAGGATGCGCTTCGGGCGATGGAGGTCGGTGGAAGAGAAAGCATCCCGGCATGAGCTTACCGCACGCTGCTCTTGCAGAAAGTGGCCGTTCATGTCAGTGCAGCCTCCTTACCGAGACTTGGAAGACAGCACGCCATTCTCACGAATGCCAGGGCCAGCTACTAGCGCAGACACACTGGGCGCTGCCGTGTACCTGAAGTTAGATACCTGAAGTACCTCTTTCGATCTTTTATTCATCGGCGTCTGCTGATCAAGCCAGCGAAGGCCTGGCCGCAGCTTACGAAGCGATGGCAGCCAAGGAGGCCGAGTATGGGTGTGTGATAAGCCGGTGTGACAAGGTCGATGCAGTCACAGGGTCTGTGACCTCCGTAGGGACAGGTGCAGCGCACGGAGGCTCGTAGTTTCAGGCTGAGGCTCCAAATCTGACTCTGTGGCAGCTTTTCATGTCTTCGACACCCTGCATTGACAGACGATCTCCATAGTAAGAAATCCCTGTGCACACAAGAGCACGAACTTGGGCCTGCAGAGGTCGTCTATGACACTTTCTCCGATGAGCTGCGTGCTGGCTACATTGCCAGGGTGCAGGCTCGCGAAGCATGGCATCTTGGATGCAAGCTCAGGGGCTAACTTTGAGTACAAGTGTGCAGTGTCGCCAGCGTCTTGGACTGCGGTGAAGGCGAGGCTAGGGATGCTAAGCCCGTCCGTCGTCCTCCGACATGTCGGGACTACTTGACACTCACAACCCCGGAGGAGATGATCGCTGGCTGTCGGTGGGTTCTGTTGACATGTTTGACTTAGCGAAAGTCAACCGAGCTTGTGTGGCACGCCTGAATGCCACGTGCAGGCACATGATTAGGATCATTCTCAGAACACACGTCGCGAATCGCAGCTTATGCCGGCAAAACAAAGAGTTGACTGGGCGCGCGCCAGCCGGGATCCAAACTTCTTTTAACCCTTGTTTCTGTTACTATCATGAAAATTTCATTATATTGGGAGTCTCTGCGTGTTTTTCGTGTTACTCGCATTAGTTTCTCCTGGGGGGGTCCAGCGTAATTATAGGGTTATCGAACGTGCGAAAGTTCAGAGCTTGGGAACCACTCAGAACCCCAAGAGCTGACAACCCTGAAGAGTGAACCCAACCCCAAGCCCCCAAAAACCCCTCACCCCAAACCGGAAGCGTAGAACCCGACAAGGTCGAAAGCAAGGCCGAAAGCCCGCAAATGAATCCTACTCACTGCCCCCACCTTCCAACCCTATCCAACCCCCAGCCCTAAAGCGGATGCCGACAGCCCTAGAGTCGTAGAGAATGAGATCCTATACTCCCCAAGCCTTTGAAGCGCGAAGATGAAAACCCGACTGCCCCAACCCGGAAACTCCCAAGTAACCCAAAAAGACCGCCCAAGCCGGCAAAACGCTAAATCCAAGGGCCGAGAAGCTCAAAAAGGAGCCGAATACACTTCCCTCACCCTTCTCTTTTGCTGCCTGGGCACCCCCAGGCCTCAAACCAAAGTTCCGAAAAACTCTAAGTCAACCCGCCCAAGAGCGGACGGAAGCCGCAAGCCTGAAGGAGTGTAACTTGACACCCAGGCGGAAGCCCTAAGCGAAGCTTCGAACAGTGCACCCAACCAAGCGGCAAAAAAAAGACACACGTGACAGTCTGACACCAAAGCTAAAGATGCAGGTGATCCTCAAGCCTCCAGGCAGCCTTCGTAGAATACGGTTTTCTGCAAATTTGAAAAGGCACACGCCGGAAGCAGACAGGCTGCCTTGAAGCTCCGAACGTGTTATCTGATCGTCTTCGCAAAAAGAGAATGAATCCCCCCCAATCGGAGCTCCCCCCCCCCGCGCAGAGCGTTCTCTCTCTCCAGGCCTGAGAGTTTTGTCCGCACCGAGGTGCGAGGAAGTGGAGACCTCGCACGAGCAGCGAGAAGCGCGAGACAAGGCCAGGAGGAACCCAGGAGCCCCCCCGGAGCCCCAGGCCCCGAAGCCGAGCCCCAGCCCAACTTCTGTAGAGCTCTTCTCAGAAGTGGCCTCTTAAGCGCAGTGCGCTCGCGTTCTGGTCTTGTGAGGCCATGAGTTTGGCGTGAACCGTTTTCCATTTCCACACCCTAAGCCCTAAGTCTCAGGCCCCCAAGCCAAGCTTCACGTTTCATCTGGCCAGGCCTTGGCCCAGCATGCTGCAAGTGTCGCAAGATCTCTGAGGCCTGGCAAGGAGCTGATCTTGTATCAACGTGTTCGGTGCACCGATTTTAGCGGGCGGCTTGCACAACGCATGAACCCTGACTCGGATTCACTTCCCCATCCTTTTCAGATTCACAAGTGGCAAGGACAGATATCTGAAGCCAAGCATTGCAACGAACGTCGTCATCCATCACGGGAGCAAGTCATGAGCCTATGCAGGAGGTTCACACAAGGAACCTCTTTCTGCACCGGCACATGTCCAATCCAATCCTGACTCAGTGATAGTAGACTGCAGGTGTGCTTGCACTCCCGATCCAACATGCACGAGCAACACGCATGTTTCAGAATCAGCTCGCCCAGATTCGGAACAGCCATCACCCACAAGCGGATTCCAGGATGGCCGGCCGGAGGCGTTTGGGCTTTTCTGCAAGAGATGTCCTGTATCTGTCCTGCCCTGAAGTGGCCAGGCATGCACGAGCATGGATGGTGAGAGCCACCGCTTTCAGAGAGGTGTCTTGGATGATTTGTTGGCGCGAGTCGCGACTTTTCTTAACTGGATCTGTAGACTGTTCTTGCCCTGCTTTGGTTGTGTTAGCTGTACATAATCATGGTTTTCTGCTAGTTGTTCTATGCAAGCTACCACTCCCAGTCCACACATCTGTTGTGCAATCTGGGTAACAAGGCAGGCCAACAAAGTCAGGCCGCCTGCCTGAAAACCTTGCATGTGCCTAGGAGGAGGCTGGTTATCGCTTTACTGAGCCACTGGGCAGTAGTTATGTGGATGCAGCGCATGTACCCACAAGCTCGTGATCACGCACAGGCATGAAACACGGCCACACCAGCTTGTTGAAGAGGCTCTGGCCACCAACCGGAGCTCAAATCAAGCCGCACGGACAGTTTGTGCTGTTGAGTCTCTCATCCTCTTTATCGTCCCCTCTGGCTCGCCATGTCACCTAAAACCATCCGGGCTGGGGATGCGTGCGCTCTGCACCTTAGGCGCATAGGAGAGCCCCCTGGCTCCAAACGGAGCCTCCCTTTGCCGAAGGTCCTGCGTTCTTGCCGTTTTCGGTAACTACGCAAGCAGTCAGGAAAGCTCAACTGACGATTCTGTCGGGTACAGAACAGGATACTTCTGTGCACACATGTTTCACTCGAATATGTCCGCAGACCGAAGCAAGTCAAAGGAAGCTCACGAACATGCAGAGCTCTGCCATCTGAGCCACTGAAAGCCGGGGTCTCATGGACGTCCTTCGGTAGCTCGATGCTTGTCCAGCTGGAGACGTAGACTACTGCCTAGGTACTTACTGTACTTACTGACAAAGCCTTGAACGAACTGTCGGATGTTCAGAGGTAGTGGCTGCCGGACGTTTCAGTGCCAGTCCTAAGCAGTCGCAGCCGCACATGTGCAACCAAAAACCCGGCTACTGACCGCTTCGCTTCGCTGAAACTTTGGCCCAAAAGACTTCTTGCAAAGCGGGTGCAAGCGGTGGGCGGCCGCACGGGCGGGTCGCTCCTGGAGCAGACATGGCCGTGCCCCTAGCATCCAAAGCAGGGACGTTCTGTCGAGGGTTCGGCGGCCTGATCTTTCTGGGTTCTTGATTTCAGCAACACCACGTGATCTAGCCTCTGCACTACGAAGCTGCCTGGTGAAGGGGCGTGCGCAAAAGAGAGTGCCGGCGGTGAGGCCGGAGCTCCCAATCAGACGCTGTCCAGCTCTTACTGTGCACACATGGCTGCGCGTTTGAGTTCATCGCTGCTGGTTCAGCACTTTGCATCCGACTGGATGTTGATGGCTTCAGCAGTGCAGATTGAAAGGATTCTCCGCTACATTTCAGCATCCTCCCAACCTCAAAAAATGCTTGCAAGGTACGTCAACAACCTAAATGACAAGATCAATGTCGAGACCTTGAAAAAGTCTCTGCGAGAGGCGGAGTAGCTGTTGCTGCACGAGATGCGAGCCGGTGTGTGTGTGTGTGTGTGCGTGTGTGTGTGTGTGTGCGCGGGTGTGTGTGTGTGTGTGTGTGCTTGTGTAGGTGCTTGTGTAAATGTGTATATATATATATATACTATGTGCATATGTATGTATAACTGTATGTATATGTGTGTCATGCGTATGTGTATATACATGCTGGAGGTAGGCAGGTAGATATGCATACAAACGTGTGCATGCATGTATGTATACATGTACAGTTGCATGTGTGTGTATATATATACTTATATACATATATATGTTTGTTTCTGTATGGATTTGCTTGCTTGCCGGCATGCCGGCCTGCTTGCTTGCAAGCTTGCGCGCTTACTTCTCTGTTTGAGTAGATGGGTGTGTGCGTGTGTCTGTGTGCGCGCAACTACGCTTCTGCTCAAGCTGTGGATAAGGGGGGAAGCTAGAACTGATCACTCTCGTGCCCCCGCATAGCATCGCTCACTGGGGGCTTGGGGGACAGCTTCCGAATGTATCGTCTGCAAAGGCATCTGAGGATGGCTTCAGAATCTGACGAGCACTGAGGATTTCATCGGATTACCACGGCTCCGTCGGTGGCATCGAATGCACTGCCCACATCAGTCTGACAGTCTAAGATCCAGTGTAAGTCAGCGTGTGCGTCCGAGCGAGCGAGCGAGGGAGGAAGTGTGCATGCGTGTCTATGTGTGTGAGTGTGTGTGAGAGAGGACCGCTGCCAGCTTGGCTTTGCTGGGCAGATTGAGCAATTCTTTCGACAAATTGAGTCCAGCCACCAATCCCTGGAAAGCACACTTTACAGCAACAAGGGAAGTACTCGCTTCGTCCATGCCGGATTCTAGCAAGAGTCACTGCAGACACCTCTCGGCGGCAGGTTTTTGCGGCTTTCGGCGGCATCATCGACATTGTCGCGATGAAGTCTCTCAAGCGCCGTGGGCAGGCCCCTGTTTACTTTGAAAAGATGTGGCCGCTTATTCAACTGCAGATGACGTGAGGAGGACCTCTCCAGCCCTTCATTTTGATATCGTGTTATACGCGACATGTTGAACGGTTAGCAGCTGCTTGTCAGGCTTGGATCATCTTCAAAGAGGTCGGACGTGGAAGGGGCCACATGTGTGCAGAGACAGAATTTACCTGCAGGGACCTAAGGAGCACGTTAGCAAAGAGGTTTCCTGCTCTTCAAAGTGGAAGCATCGCGGCGTCATCAAGCGCATTTAACCATGAGCATGCCCGATGCGCTATTTTTTGCCTGGCTTTTTGGTCAACTTTCACCGCTGATCCGTGGCAACTTGCGAAAGCCAGTGCAGGTGCCGGCTGCGTCGAACTCCCTGAAGTCCCTGCAGGGCTTCCCCTTCTACAACAAACCGATGCGTGCGCCAGCCCGGACTACTTGATCTTGACCGCCTGCGTTTGATTTGGACCTTACAGCTGCAGAACCTCTCGAGCTTGTCATGTGGCACATGGCAGAGGCTGCATGTAGGGCATTCAAGTCAACACTTGGACATGACATGGACCTGACCGAGGCATTGCATACGCCAAGACGAAGTCTGACGTGGTTGCCAAGGCCTGGGGAGAGTGAGACACACACGCACCCAGAAACGAGAGCATGCGTGCGGCGCCATGAGGCCGACGGCACCTACGTCGAACGTCCCAAGAAGATCGTCAAGCGTGAGGCAACTTGTGCAATGCGCTCGTCAGTGTGCACCTCCTGTATGAATTCCATGCCGAAACTCTGGGACAGACAGGACGTTCGGAAGAAGGCGACAACAACCCATGCGCGACTGGGAAAGCGCTTAACTGAAACTGCCTGCCTGACCTCTGACCTGTACCAGCCATCGGTACGTTTCCACGGGCCTGCGCATCAGCTTTAAGTGACTTCAAGAAGATGCTGCTGCGTGTTCTGGAAGATTTGCTTGCGTTGCCAAGGCCTCCCGAGATTAAGACGGCGCCGGTCCCAGGACTTGCACCAGGAGACGACTCCGAGACTCCTGGTTTCTGCTTTCTCAAGACTTGTGGGCGCAAGAGCAAACGCCGGAGTCAAGTCTGCTTCACATAGGTCTCGACCCCGGCGAGCGCGGCTCAATCTGCTGCGTCGCAGAAGAGCATCCAGGAGTCCCGGTGCCGAACTTCATGGCAGGTTGCACGTGTCGGTTTGCACGCCCACGGTGCCCTGAGTCAGTAAGATACCTGTCTGCAATAGCATGTTCCACGGCTTGTGGCAGTGTTGATGCCTCATGCGTCCCTGCGCTTGAGGCCTTTTCAAGTTCTAGAGTGCCCTGGTTCAATGAAGATCCACGTGCAGTTCCACTCCAGCATCACGCTGTGACGAGCAAACCTCCCCCCAGAACCGCTTTTTTCAGCCACGCCAACGACAACGATCTCTTATATCCAGGGTTCTAGAACGGCTGTACGAAAGCCTGTCAGGCACTCTGTGTAGAAATTCCGTCAAACGCTTGTCTACGCCTTACCTGTCACGCCTTGCAAGTAGCACGACCCCGTTCCAGCCTCAGACAGGCCAAGAGGTTGAGAACCTTTGAAGCTGCACGCCTCTCCCGAACATTTCACACGGAGCCGGTGCCTGGAGCATGGATGCCGCAGCCTGCACCGGGCCGAGTTGTGACAGGCAGGAGGGAGAAGAAGGGACATGGTGACATGACTTGCTTCGTGTTTGGGATGGGCTCGCGGGTCTGATCTCTGAGATCTTGAAGCGAGCGGTCACAGTGGCCAATGTCTGCTTGACCTCTTGACCTCGGCACTGACACGATGCCAGTAATCCTTGGCCTAACTTTGCCAGGCAAAGATGGCAAGCAAGGCGCCAACAGCTCCGGTTTTCAATGGCTCGACAGTGCAGCCTTAGAAGACGAAGCATCGAGCAGCTCTAAGATTGAAAACTTTCCATCAGATGGGTATCCTACTTTGGCACGCAGGTGGCATCGAAGAGAAGTTCCGACAGGCGCAGCCGCCTAGAGCGAATGTTCGAAGGGGATCGAAGGGGCCGAGGCTCAGCACACAAGGGACCTACTGCACGGCTTGCATTGTCCTGCATTCTGCAAAAGCTCGGAAATCTACGGAGTTACCCATCGGCTCTCTTATGCGCAGCCTTGCCAGGAGCGCGAATGCGGCCAAAGCGAAGGATGACAAGCGCCAGGCCCCAGTCTTCTGTGGTAGTGCCGGCAGGGCACTCCGTGCTCATCGCAATCCACGGAGCGATCCAAGCCTGTAATTTTCCCTTCCGTGCTGGCCCAACACAACCCTTGAGAAAACTCCCGACATGAGAGGCAGTTCTGCATGAAAGATTTCTATCGTTGTATTGTTGTCGCACGTTGGCTCATCTAGCCACTCCATCTGCCCGGATTGGAGGTGGTCATCCAAGGCTTCGACAAGAAGGTTGGCCTCGGGAAGCGCATCGCCGAGGAGTCACCGGCTCGGCCGTGAATCCGCACCTCCCCGCTCTCTCTCTCTCTCTCTCTGTCTCTCTCTCTCTCTCTGTCTCTCTCTCTCTCTCTCTCTGTCTCTCTCTGTCTCTCTCTCTCTCTCTGTCTCTCTCTGTCTCTCTCTCTCTCTCTCTCTGTTTCTCTCTCTCTGTTCTCTCTCTCTCTCTCTCTCTGTCTGTCTCTCTGATCATCATCACGACTGCTCCCTTGCTCCGGTGCACGCTCGGTATGGGCCACACTATGCAGATCGTCCCACGAATGGAAGGAACGTGGAAGGTACTTTGTATCCTGTGGGCTTGGCTTTGGAGCTCTTGGGAGTTCGCCACCCCACAGTCTCCGAACCCGATATCAATGGGCTTCAATGTGGGCTGTTCTTGCGTTTGAGCTTCGAGCACCGAGGCTAGAGCAGGGCATGCTCCGGGCTGCCTGCCCGGCAGGCCACACGGTCACACATAGCCGCAGCCAAACACTTGGCCCAATTGTGGCAGACGTTTCGAGTGTGTCTGCGGGATCGGCTTGCGGTGCCGGCAGTGTGTCGGTCTGTGGTGTTCCAGACTGCGTCTCACGTGACACCAGTCGACTTTGAGCAACGGACTGCAGGTGAGCCCTTGGTCGAAGGCAGCGAGAACTACAAGGTGGACTGCAGACCCAAGCGAGCAGTCGATGCTCTACCACAGACTGCAGAGGCGTACAAATTCCAGTACAAGCGCCTCTGCCTGGGGCCCGGAGACGATGTTTGACGTGTCTAGGATCAGGATAGCCATTTGAGGGATGCTCTGTGCATGCGTGCAGTGCGTCTGGAAGGCACACACTTGCGCCGCAATGCAGCATTGTCGGACCGCCTGCGCAGTGGGGACCTCCTGCCGCAGTCAATGGCCTCCATGTCCGACGAGGCAAGGAGACGACCGTTCCAGCTCTTGTCGTGAGGTTCACAGAGTTACAAAGATGGGTTCGAGCCAACGGAAGCACAGAACCTTCATGCGGCCAGCGTTGTCTGGGCACTTGCACCAGGCATTGATGGCAGACGACCAGAAAACCGAGAGGCAACAGTTTCGGCAGGACGGGGCAGCAAGCCTGGCGTGTTGCAAGGAAGACAAATGCCGAGCGAAAAACCAGGAGAGCCTCCAGGAAGCGATGGGAATCACCGCCGAAGACTCCGTGCCTTGCCCAGGACGTTGCAGTGCCAGGGCCAGAGCTCCCCTGAAGCGCCCAAAGACAACTGAAGAGTCTACACTCCCACCTGACGACACCTCAGGCGCACTGGACACCCTCGGACCAGTTCACCTGCCCACGATGTGAGAACACCAAGTGTGCTCGAACCCCAGATCAGCCCAGATTTTATTTGTGTTTGGTCAACATTGCACGACTCGACGATGGAATTCTGCGTTCCTGCGATGTGCACCTTAGAAGGAAAGGGAAGACCATTGAAGCAAAAGGGATGCAGCTCAAATCAAGGGCTGAGACATCTTTGTCTTTGTGGGCTGTCTGGCAGAGATCCTTACCATTCGGCCTTTGAGGGTAGGGCCGAGTACAAGTAGGGTGTGCGTGGTGCCCCGACTGCGGGCGTTGCTTAGCCCGTTTTTTTCAACTTCCGAAGCAGGCATGTTGCGGTTGATGCAGGTATATATCCAGTCGTTCAAAGGCTACCATAGCCACGACGACAACAACCAGGCGATGGACCATGCACCGTTTCAAGAAGTGACCTGTGCGGAGGGCATGGTTCGAAAGGGCACGCAGGGCGCAAGCTCTTTGACTTCAAGATCCAACCCTAGAAGATGAGCCGAAAGTTTCGACAAAAGCAGGCCAACATCGGAATGTAGCATCAAGCGAAAACCTCAACAGATGCCTTGCCCGACACGTGGTGAGACCGACAGGGGCGTGACAGGGAGGCAGAATCATCCAGCAAGCATCCTGCATCTGTGAAGATCTGCGAAGCAGGAGCCTGTCATCACCATTCGCTGCACCAGCTGCAAGTTTCTGTGGAAAGAGGACGAGGCCACGTTGAAAAGATCATCGTTCTCACGACTATGACTAGGTTATTCCTTGATGGACAGTGCTGCCCACAGCTGCATATCCTATGCGTGGAAGATTTCAATCCCATGACCCACTTCGCTACACCCAGGATCAATGTAGCAATGGGTTGTCATGCTGCCAATTACAGTTGACACAGCCAGTATTTGTCGCTTTCTGTCCAGGTGGAAGGTGGCCGAATGGCCGCTGGGAGCTTCGTGCAGAGCTTTGAGGCCGTCGGCTGCCGGTCACCCCTGGAAGCCTGCTCATAGCTTTTGGATTCCTGACCAGGAAGACACCAGGCGCCAGCAAAGGGAAGGCTCCAGGTCTTGTTCGTCAGGTATGCGTGTCAATTCCGGAGAGCGAAATCAGAGGTCGTGAGCATTCACAAGTGCGACCCTCTCCATCCCTCCCCGATGAGGTGAGCGAAGGCAAAGCAGAATCCCCTGCCAGGACTGCAGCTCCATCGATTTGGGCTGAAGATGACAAGCTTAAAGAGTCCTGGCTCCTGCCTGCTTCCTCGTCCTAGAGTCCCTGTGTTCCTTCGCTGAGCTGACTGCGAGCAAAGGGTGTCTCGCCATGTCCGACAGCTGCAAAAAGCATCAACTTGAAGTGGAGCTGTGACTCCACAGACGTCGCACGGTCTCCCTTCAAACAGCAGAGACTGACTCATGCGCCAGCCGGAGTCTTCCTGAATCTTAAGCACCAGCTCAGCTCATGCTTCTGCTGACTCCCTGGCCCAACAGCAATTACTCAGTCGACGAAGGCTCAACTTCAATTTCCAACCTAGAAGCTGTGAGGAAGCAGCACTTTGTTCGTGCTTTGGTTCCATGTTCGAGCAGCTTAGCAGAAAAGTTTGTGCATGTGCACATAAGATACCACCGCGCCATGGTGCGCTTTTGGAGCTACTGCTTCCTGCCCTTTGCCGCTTTTTTCTTCGCTGCAGTGACTTGGATGCGCTTGGTGGGTAGGGGCGGGGCGGTTTCCTGTAAGAGAGAGAGAGAGAGAGAGAGAGAGACAAAGCGAGAGAGAGAGAGAGAGAGAGAGAGAGCGACGTAGTGTTTTACCATGCCACACTTGAAGTGCGGGGGAGCAGCATGGTGAACCTCGTTGTTAGTACAGCCGAGCCTTCAAAGGAATATCCTTTGAAGTGGTGAGACCTCCCGCGACAAGCGGGTGTGCGCGCGTGCACGGGGTGATCGGCCTGGACGCTGCCGTGATCCCCAAGCCCGGAAGAGAGAGAGAGAGAGAGAGAGAGAGAGGGAGAGGCCTTCATATCGCATTGGTTGTAGTTAACGGTTGCCTAGAACTTGGAGACATGTGTACAAGTGGTGTCGACAGTTCCCAACACACGTAATCATGCCAGAACTTGGTCGATGCCCTTGAATAATCCCCTTCTTCAGGGGGGCCGCCAATCGTAGTATCACACCCCTTCAAAGCCCCATAACAGTTGGGGCGCCCAGGCGGCCAGGGGCCTGACAAGCCCCTTCTCAAACCTGACGAGAGAGAGAGAGAGAGAGAGAGAGAGAGCTTTCGTACATGGGGGAGGACACCACGAGCAGCCCCCATACTACATTCGTACTGTGATTTGCTTGGCCTGGTACTCAGTTGTTGCGTAGTGCAAGCAAGAAGGGGGCTGCTCTCTAGCACGAGATTACGGGGGGAAATGCGCACGGTGCAGGCACTAAGGAGTTTGCCTTAGGAGGCGCGGTGATGAGGCCGGGACGCAGGATAGGCG